CTGCCTCTCCATTCCCTTTCTAAAAACATACTCATGGCTATCCTAAAACACTGAATTCTCGAAGCTCATAGGCTCCTCTTTGGTACGTCCAAGTACAAGCCTAGCAGGTGAACTGTAGTCACTAAGAGTTAGATATGTTTGTGCAGTTCCACTTGTCTGTTTTTTCTTTTGTTGCCCATGCTCTTGGTGTCATCTCCAAAAGATCACTGTGTAGACCAATGTCAATGAGGTTTTCCCTTATATTTTCTTCTGGCACTTGTATGGTTTTGGGTCTTATGTTTAAGTCTTTAATCCATTTTGAGTTGATTTTTGCATAAGGAGTGAGATAAGGGCCCAATGTCATTCTTCTGCATGTGAATATCCAGTTTTCCCTACATCCTTATCGAACAGACTATCCTTTCCCCATTGTGTGTTCTTGGTATTCTTGTTGAAGATCAGTTGACTGAAGATACACAGATTGATTTCTGGGCTCTCTATTCTATTCTGTTGGTCTATGTTCCTTTTTTCATGCCAGTACCATACTGTTTTGATTGCTGTAGTTTTGTAACATATTTTGGAATCAGAAAGTGTGATGCCTTGAGCTTTCTGGTTCTTGTTCAAAATTTGGGATGGCAATAACTTATAAAATACTGAGAAGATTCAGAATGTTGAATGCCCAAACACTTCAGAACCATCCTTGCCAGAAGATACAGTCCTCGTTACTCCTCACCTTGTTATCTAAGTAAACCAGCAATCCCATGTAGTAAAAATGACTTTCAATTGCTTCAGCTGAGGCAGAAACCCAATTAGAGAGTAGCAATTATTTTCAGTACTCATTCCAATTACCTCTCATTGCCTACAGATTCTTAAGTTAAATCCTAATACAGCTAAAACCAAGGCCTGATCCAGAGGAGATAGCTTAAACACTGAAAGAATTGCAGAACTTTGGCAATTTATGTCATCAGGAGTCTAGGTAGCATACAAGGGAATGGAATCTAAGGATTTTATGTTAAGAGGATGAACAAAAATGCTAGAGCAGGCCAAATTTATCAATATGTGTGCATTCACCTAGGATTTGGGATTGAGTGTATTGCCTTGAGCAATTGGTAATGACTGGCTAATTAAATCCTTAACTCAATGCTAAAATGTTAAAATGGCAAAATCTTCCTGGCATACTAAAGTGGAAGAAATACAAAAACTCACATAAGTAAGAATATTGAAATTGATCTATTATGGATCACCCTATTCAGCCATTCATCCACTACCCTTACCCTGGAAGGGCTTGTGGGACACACCCTTCACCAAAGAATTAAGAAATACGTTGGTAAGGAAAGAACCAGTATATTTGAAAAGCTTTATGGTAACTATCTTCTCTAGGATGGAGAGAACAATGGTAGATGCTGTAATGGATCAGGGTTCCTGAGTTCAATGCATGAGTATAATCTCAGAGTGGCAGAGGCTATGTGGTAGGATTTCAACAATAATTTGTTAGGTACGATCACCTTAACAAGCCATACGAATGGGGTGATAATCAGAGTGTTTTGTGCCACATGTGGTGATGGATAATTGATCATGGAGTCCCTAAGAATGAAACAGATGGATAGACCACCAATCTGCTAACTGACTTGCACAGGCAGAAAATGTCTAGGTCTTGTGGGCAAAAACCCAACTTGAGTAGCCATGGAGCGGATTCATGACCTCTTATCCCATGGCTAGAGTTAAGCCTATTTACAGACCCCCAATCATTCAATTTTAGGTGGAGAATGACTTACTATTAGGAGGGGCCCTGAAATCTGGCCACAGATGTATGCTGCGAATTTTCCTCCAAGCCATTTTAGAATCACCTGTGGCCATTTATGATGGTGACTGCACATGGGGGAAAGAAAAATACCAAGTCCTTCCAGGAGTTATTAGATAGCTTTATTAGATTAGTTCTGAATTGACGTTAATCCCTGGAACACAAAATGCTTACATTGATTCCCTGACACATGGAAGGAGGGCTATTTTAAAGAGCTAAGAAAAATGCTGTTCAATAGAAATATGTGAATGACATATGTAATTTTAAGTTTTCTAGTACTCACATTAAAAAGGTAGAATTCATTTGAATACATTTTATTTAATCAAAAATATAATTTCAACATGGGGCACTAACCGTATCTAGGTGCTTAATAGCCACATGTGGCTAGTGGCTACCATATTGGACAGCATAGTCTTACAACTATCACCTCTCCCAAGACAGCAGACTAAAAGAAATAATGTATCTATGGGTTAATTATAGATATTAGTTAAACCATCAGAAAACTAAAAGATGTTGGGGTGGTGATTCATACTATATATTTATTTGAACTGTTTGTTAGGCTAACATATGACCTAGATTGTTCTGTGGATGAATTCAGACTTAATCACATCATAATGACAATTGCAGATGCAGTTCTAGCTGTAGAATCTTTACTGGAGAATATTAACATAGCCCCTGACACCAAGTATGGAGCTACTGACTTGACTTCTTTTTAAAATAGTTCCTATCAACAAAGATAATCAGAAGCAATTTGCCTTTACATTGAAGGGACAGCATACTTTCACTATCTTACCTTAAGGCTAGATCAACTCTCCTGTTTCTGTAATAATATAGTCTGGAGGAATCTTGTTCATCCTGACATTCCACAAAACATGAAGCTGGAATATGACATTCATGACATTACGTTGATTGGACTTGGTCAGCAGAAAACAGTAAACACCCAAGATGCCTCAGTAAGATATATGCCAGAGGACAGGAGATAAACTCCATGAAAGTTCGGGACTTTCAGCATCAGTGAGATTTTATGGTCTGGGCATGGTGAAATAGATCCACTGTAGTGAGTGATAAATTGCTGCACCTTACACTTTCCATCATGAAGAATGAAGCACAAAACATGGTGACCTCTGAACTTTGGAAGCAAAATAGATCACATTTGGGTATGCTGCTCTAATACAAGTACTAGGAAACCCACAAGGCTGCCAGTTTTGAAAGGAGCCTGGGGCAAGAAAAGGATCTATAGCATACACTTGCCATGATAAAAGCTGCCCTATATCTTTGGCTCTAAGATCCAGCAGATCTAATGATTTCTGTAAATGTTTGTGGCAAACAGAGATGTTGTATGACATCTCTGTCAATGGAAGCCTCAGAGCACAGATCCCTATTGGTTTTGTTGTAAAGACATGTGATCTTCCACCAACAACTATTCTCCATTTGAAAAGCAGCTCCTAACTTGCTATTGGACTGTGACTAAGACTGAGCACTGGACTATGGGACTCCAAATGACTATGTGGCACAAACTGTGCATCATGAACTAGGTGTTATTTGATTCGATATATCATAAAATAAGATGTGTATAACAGCATTTCATTGGTAAATGAAACTGGGACCAAGCAATTTTGGGAAGCTACTTGCTCATGGTACGCTTGGGCTTCCCAAAACTGTTTGGTCACCCATCAGATAAAGAGCCTTGTCTTGCCCGGTGGCAGAAGGTAAAGCTAAAGGGAAGATGGAATTGAGTGGAAGAAGAAAGCTACAGCAACGAATTTTGAGTTCTTTGACCAATTAGCAAAGCATGGACCTTAGCCTGAAAATCTATGTGCTACGTAATCCTTGGACAACTTGATAATACTTTAATAAGCTAAAGGAAATACCTGTCATGTCTTAAAAGTATCTTTCTATAAAGTATACTTTTCAAAATGAAATGATGCCACTTTAAGGTATAATTTTCATAACATAATGTTAAAATAAAACAAAATGTCAAAGTTGGAAATAAGTGAATAACTTTGAGTCAGGGAAGAAAGTAAAATACACACTAAAAATATTTTAATATTTGCATTAATTTCATTTTTGTAACTGCCCCAAACTTAAGAATAATGTTTAGAATAGTTTTATATGATTCACATTCATGTTTATAAAACAAAGTACAGCCTTGAGGATTAACAAGAAAAATGGAAAGAAAGATAAATACAAGCATTACATCATAATCCTAAGCACTCGCTAATACAATTTGTCAATGTAGATGAAACTATCACTTCCATCATATCATCATATTAAACTGAAAATTTAATAAATATGTCATTACGGACAGAAGGGGCATATAAAGCTGGCTTGAGAGTATTCTATATTAATTTTCTTCCCTTAACTTCTTGGTTATGACAATTCAAGTGAAAGTCAAATGAGATTATTCAGATTTCTGATCATTCTTTCTTTTATAAACTATACTCTAGCTTTTAAAAAAATCAAATTTATTCCAGATTTTTTAATGATTTATGAAGCACAGAAAAGTTTGAGATCGTGCCCAATGACTATAGCTTGAGAACTAAAGAAACAAGGAGAGTTAAAATGGAATATAAAATACTCAGCTCAGTCAGATAGAGCACGGTGTTGGCAAAACCAAGATCAAGGATTCAGATCCCCAAACCAGCAAGTTGATCGAAAAACCAAACCAAACAAACAAACAAACAAAAACAAAAACAAATACTCTAACAGCCAATTTTCCAATAAATATAATGCTTTCAAGTTTAAAAATGGTAATATTTGATTTCTTATTGAGGTTTCAGCATGGGCACTATATTAGTCAAAAAAAAAAAAAAATCGCAGCTTTTATCTCCTCTATAGTAACTTCAGAATGTAACCATGATATTTCACTAAATCTTCAATAATCCTGGATTAAACATTACTACTGCATTAATAACTGTAAAAATTTAAAAATCATAGAAAATTTACATAACCACTGCTTTTTCGTTCCAATATCTTGAAACAAGACACTCTTCAATTGACAGTTCTCCTTTTTGCCAATCTACAAGTCTAAAAATGCAGGGCCATATGCATCCTGCAAAATTTATCAGTTATTTAATGTACACAAATCAAGATATTGGCTAGGTCATTCCTAGCTACACACCAAAGCTATAAATTACTTAGGATTATTCCATAGCACTCTCCTGAATTTTCATATTTTAGCTTTCTTCTCAAAGAGTTGTGTCTCAGAGTTGGTGATACTTACCAGAATGGGTCCTGAGGTGTCCTGTGAGGGCGTCCCTTCTTCTACAGGCATAGCTACAGAAAGGACATTTGAACGGCTTCTCTCCAGAGTGTAACTTTATGTGTCTCAGAAGGTTGCCCTTCTGAGTAAAAGAAGCTCCACACTGGTTACAGTGGAAGGGACGTTCACCTGCAGAAAAGAGAAGTAGGAAAGATCAAGTAAGTTATGTGCAAGTGATTAATTCGCCGTCCACCAGAGCCAGGTTTTTATGCTAACAATATTCATCTCCCACATAAATCTTCTAAACATTTATCTTCCTAGAATTTGCTTTGCTAATACCAAAATCTCAACTTTGTGTTAAGTGGCCATTTCCCCACTTCATATGAATTTGACAAGATTCCTGTTATTGACTCAAAAGAATAACAATAATAGTACTTAGCACTGGTTGAACAACTAGGTGCCATCACTTTACTGACTTACTGGTTGCTTTACATACAATATTTCAATCCTCAATTGACAATAATTAGGTATTAATTTCAATTTCCAAATGAAGAAATTGAAGATCACACATCAAAGTATCTGATTACAGTCACAGAGCTAGTAAGCACTCAAGCAGATAACTGAACCTGGTCAGTTGGACTACAAAATCTTGTGCTCTTTATTTTACCATGTTATCTCTTTGAAAATGACAGAAATTTTGAGTTGGAATGCATCTTTAGTCTAACTACCTCATTTAAGGAAAAGGGGGCCAAAAAGTAGCAATGAATGCTCATTACCACAAGATCCCCAAATACAGCCCAAGTCTCTTGATTCTCCTACTCACTAATAGTAAAAGCTTTGGCAAAATTTCCTGATATATCAGGGGAAGTCCAAAGAAAATTATTCATCTGGACATTTCCTGCATATTCTCTTTATCTTGTGAGAATCATTTGTTTGATAGAAATCTTTTTTCCCTTTTCTATTATCACTGATGTTGCTATAAAATTATTTAAGCCTGAATTATCAGTTCAGTCTGTTGTCATCAATTTGCTGACACCTATTTCATCAAATATAAAAATGTGTATGTAACAAAGCAGTAAAATTGGCAAGTAGGGTCAAAACTG